ACTGCCAATGTCTGTGGACCTTGAATATCATAAGGGCAACGTGGCGTCAAATATCTTAACATTCATAAGTGTTATGGGCTGCAAATAAAGCCTGTGGATTTATGACTCGGGGAGCTTGCCAGCAAAGGACTGGAGCACATTTCTTTCAGCAGGCCTGTCGAGGTACAAGTTTGCCTTTGGTTGTAAAATTAACCATTTCCTTCACAAATGCACTCAATTATAAATTGGAGTTGAAGATTTATTTACATGGTTGCCAATATCTACTCCTAAAGAAACTTAGGCACCCACCACACACATACACACACACACTCACACACACTCCTACAAAACAAAACCCTGGAGAGTCTTGGTCAGCCCTCCCTTTTAAAATGTTGAAATGAGCCGGCAAAGTTATAAATGTGGTCAGAGATATCATGGATTTCCACTCCCCGAAAGACTAAGAAGCTAGCTAACACCTACCTTCTTGGGAGCTTATTTATTTGGCAACCCTGAGATTATTTTTTTAAAGGAGTAAATCATTCCTTGCCTAGTCTCCCCGCCCTGCCCCCAATACAATGTCATCTACTTCCTGTGCTGGAGAACGAAGCCTCTGCTAAATCCAGGTTGTCCCATACTTAACTGCCAATAAACCAACTTCCACATAACTTCCAGACAGCTGGGGGAAAGGTCCTCGGGAGTTTTTAGTCACGGTCCTAAACACGAGTCCACACAAAAATTTGCAGCTGTCCTTTCTCTACAGTGCATTTTTAATGCGATTCGGGAGCCCCTGTTGTGACATCTGACAAAATCCTCCCTCTCTCCTCTACCCTCTGCATGGGAGGGAGGCCAGGCCAGCACTTCTCAGAGGGGCTCTGCAGAGACTTTTTGTGTGCACCTGTGCACCTCCTGGGGCATGAGAAGGTGCTCAGATCTTGGAAAGACTTAGACCCTAATCTGGAAAAGTACAGCCTCTGGTATAACCATCAAATGCCCTCTCCCTTTCTTAAATGGCGTGCAGAGTTGCATCCATCCTGTGCCACTAACAGAGAAAGCAGCAAGCATTCTACAAGCCACTCCGGGAAACCTTCCTGTAACTTTTTCACAGCTTGCTAAGAACAGAAAGCTAGCCAACAGCCAGTAGCAACTCCAAAGGCAGCCCTCTCAGAAAAAAGAAAATCGGAGTGGAGAACTCCAAGCAAGAACCAGCATGGTTGTTCTGAAGATATTTTCGACATCTCGGGTGAGAAAAGCAATCAAACCTGGAGTCCCCTACACGGTAGCCAAGCTCCCCAGAATGCCTCTCCTAGATGAGCCTTTTAGACTCCCAAGCCCCACGTTTGTTTCTGGGGCTTCAGGAAGCCAAATATGCATTGGCATATTAGATTTACAATCATTAAAATATGCCTTACTGGGTGAATGCTGAGCCCAGACATTAAACCCTAACTTACAAAATTAGCATAGAAGACTCCATGCCCTGAGATTAAAATCTAAACATGTCTGCCATAAATATTTCTGAAGGAGATGAAAACAATTAGCATAAATACGAAAGGAGGCTGAGAGCACCTGTTCTTCTTCAAGGCGATAAGCATTTTATTGTTCTCTATTTAAAATGTAATGACCTGTGTAATTACAGTAATATTACATTGTTATGGAGGGGCTTGGAATGTCACACTTTGAAAAGTGTTGTCAAAACAATCAGGGGTGAAGGTGGGGGGTGGGAACACAACAGGGAAGGTCCTGCGTTAACCCTTCACACTCCAGGGCCTCAATCTTTTCTGTCAGGAAGAATTATGTTGTTTGAGAAAGTCAAAAACATCCATTTTTCGGCAAGCCAGAAAAAAAAAAAAAAAAAAGGAGTTGCCGGGCTAAATAAAACCTCCTCAATGAATAGGCTGACTCTCTATTTCCTTAAAATGCTCCATTCCAAGTTCAAAAATGAATTCAAGATGCTGTTACTTATCTGCTCAACTAGTAGCTAACAGCTCCACTGACAAGCAAATGCTTTGGGTAGATGAGGCCGTGTGCCCTTCAAATGAAATCTCTCGCCTCTCACAGGTCTACCACCGCAGACCTACCTCTTGCAAGCCAGAAGGAAAAACAGAAAAGTAAAACTTCCCCTCCTGATGGACTTTAATCCTGTAACAGTACTCTCTGAACGCTGTTACCTGAATCTTAATATTGGTACTTCAGCCCTTCCCACCTACTTAACTAGACTTCTCCTTACTGTGTTTTTCTATCTGAACGTACCCTCTTCATAAGCCATTTCTATTGCTGTATCAAAGATTAAATTAATGTTCTGAGGAAATCTTTGTTGTTTTAAAGTAAAATCATTACTATCAAGCTCTGCAGCTTCTTTGGCAATTAAAAGATTGTTCTAGAGATGATTTATTATTCATCAAAAGCCGATTTAATGATACTCCTTAATTCTTTACATTCTTAAGCAGAAATCAGGGTCCCAGCGAGTCTATTTTTCAAAGGATTCTGCCCTTTAGCCGGTACTGTTCACAAGTAACAGAAAATGCACCAAAAAGCTCCCCGGCCAAGAGGAAGAGAATGAATAAGCTTATCCCTAATTTGTGTTTACAACTCAGAAGTCAAAACCAGACCCTATGAAACCCTGAGAATTTCAGACCCCAGACCGCTACCGCTGGCTTGCCTGTGGGTTCCACCCGGGGCTGTATCGAATCTGGAATTGACAAGCTGGCCCTAGCGTCCAAAGACTCTAGAGGGCCATACAACCGCCTCTCAGCTCAAAGCTCCGCTCAGCAGCCTAAATAAATAACTTCAATTTTGGAACACTCAAGCTTACCCAGGTAAGGGAAAGGAAAGAAGCAAAGGCGGCGTGCACAAAGATGTCTGATTTCTGGCACGCAAATACTAACAGCCTACTGGGTTCAGAAATGCCTTCTCAGAGTCAATCTGATGTCACAGCACAGGGCCACCCGCTATGTCCACAATTAAAATAACTAGACGCTGTCTATTCCTACAAAGCCCACAAAGGGGGCCGTGGGTTGGGAGCCTTCCTTGTCTCACCGGGAAATCATTTATTTGCCTTTAACAATTTCCCTGTTTCCTAATTACAGCACAACACAACTGTGTGGGTTTGAAGCAATGGTGTGGCAAGATCGCCAGCGGTCACGGACGTGCAGTTTGAAAAGGGTCAAGAAAGCCAACAAGCCTGCCATCCAAGCCCGATATTCAGATGGCCTTTCTGGTGGCTAAGTGGATTTTTAAATAAAAGGAAAGAGGTCTGCGTCCTAAGGAGAAGGGGAGGAGGGGAGGAAATTCCCAGGATAACTTTGGAATGTTGCTGCGTCTAGTTTGCTAACACACCGATTCTTTAAGATCCCGTCAGCTACCAAGAAAAATACCAGGCGCCGCTTCCGAGGCCGCCGAGCAGCCTCCGGAAAGCGCGGGCCCTGCTGGGCGAGGTCAGGCTGTACCTCAGTCCCGGCTTCCAAGGAAGCCAGGGCCCTAGGGGGCTGGGGGTGGTGGTGATTGTTTCTCTTTCTTAGGCATTAAAAAAAAAAAAAAAAAATTACCGGTCTAGCGTGCTCTCGCCATTCCGCCAGAGCCAGGAGGAAAGGGGAAAAAAAAAAAAAAAACAAGTCAAACCTGATAGTTAATATTTTAATGCTTAAAAGCACTTGTAGATTTGGCTGACTGCAATGCCAGCACTGCTCAATAGTGGGAACATTATTTCAGACTGCCACCTTAAATGAGCGAAGAAGGAAAAACAAAACTAATGTGTGTAAACACGAGGTAGCGACTACGGCCAGAGGTGCAAAGTGACAACCCCGGGAATCCCGGCACAAACGTGGCTGGAGAGTCTAGAGCTCCGCAATCCCGGCTTTTTAGGGGGGAGGGGGAGGCAGGGGACAGTGTGAGGGCAGGGGGCAGAGGCCCCGGCTGAGGGGGGTGAGCAGGAACAAATGTCTGCGGAGGGCTCTGGAGGTGCGCCGCAGGAAGCTCCCGGGGAGCGTGGCACCCCGCGCCGCCCTGGGCCTCTCAAAGTTGGGTAGCCGTTCCCCAGGAAGGGAGGCATCCCCAAGCCTCCTGCACCTCCTTGAAAGCGCTCGCCGCGGCCTCTGCCACCTCCCCAGGGGCCCTCAGCGAGGTGGTCAAGGAAAGGAAGGCCTCCTCCACATGCCATCCGAAGGCACCGAATTTCCCTCGACACAAAAGTCCACTCAAAACAGGCCATCCTGACTACACACAAACCCAGGAGCCCTCCAAACGGGCCTTCCCAACACGCACAGCTCGCAGCGAGTAGCGTGGGGCAGCCAAGCCCTGGCGGGTCTGCAGAGAAAAACATGCACAGGGCCCCCGGGCCTGCGAGGGGACCAAGCCTGGCAAACGTGACCTTCCCGTGGAAGAAGGGGCCAGGAGGCCCGCGAGCTTGCGATCGACACTAGAAAGCTACAGAAACGACCGGCTAGGGAAAAGCTCCGGACGCTTCCGCGGGGCCGAGGCTGCGCGCTCAGCACCGAAGCCAAAGGCACCGGGAATCGGCGCTGCACGCCGGGGCCCGGGCCCTGGCCGGCCCGGCCTCGCAGCCAGCAGCCTAAGGGTTAACCTGGGGGAAGCCCAAGACGCACAGAAGAGGGAAGCGAGAGAGGGAGAAGAAAGAACCAGAGTCCTCTTCCCAGGGACGAGAAACGAACACCGCTAGCAAGGGGGTGGGGTGGGGGGAGGGAGGGGGAAATCGGGGCTCAAAAGAAAAAAGGAAGGGAAGGGAAAGGGAGAAAGGGGGAGAAGGAAAAATTAAAAGTTCTGATTGGCATCCCACCGCCCCGGCAGAGCCCTGCCTGGGGAAGAGGAGGCTCCCCGGACCGCGAGGCGAGCACAAGGAAAGCCAGAACATGGCGAAGCGCGGACAAACGCAGTCCACAAAAGGCAGAGAAAAAGTTTGGAGAGTTCGGGCCGCGAGGGGGGAGGGGAGGGGGGAGGGGCGGGGCGGGGGAGGGGCAGGGCATGCGGGGCCGGCGGGCGGGCAGGGCGGGGAGCGCGGTGGCACTTACGGTTCGGGCGGTGGGCGAGAGCGATCCGTTGGGGAGGTAGGGGCTCGTCAGGTCGGGGATCATGATGAAGGGGTAGCCGGGATACGGTGGCCCCTTAAAGAGCCCTCCATCTTGCCTCTTGGCCGCTAACATGGCGGGGCGGCGGAGGGGACGGCGGCGGCCGCGCGGCGCGGGAGAGAGCGGGAGAAACTTTTTAGCAAGTGTCCCCCCGAGGGCCGCGCGCGTCCCCGGGGCCCGGCCGGCGCGGGAACTCGGGGAGGGTGGGCAGGGAGTGGGGCGAGGGCACCCGCCAGGCCGACCCCGGGGAGGGGGCAACGCGGTCGCGCGGCTTTGGGGGCGCGCGGGGCGCACTCACCTTCTTCCAAACTTTCCCGGGATTTGTCTCGGAAACTTTCGGAGCGAGGCGGAGGCCGTCTTTCCGCCTTCCCGGAGGGGCGAAGTGGGGAGGGCGAGGGGCGATGGCCGCGCCGAGGGGGTGCGGGGGAGGGAGGGTCGGCGGGGAAAGGGGTGCAGAAAAACACGGTTACAAGTTTTTGCAGTCGGCAGCCCGGGCCCCCGTCCGTGCCGCCCGCCGCCCCGCAGCCCCGGCCCGCCTCGCCTTCCAGCCCCAGGCTCCGAGCCCGGGAGCCCGCAGGAGCAGCCCCGCCAGCCCGAGGGGCTCTTCCTACCTCGGAATCGGAGGAGCTGTTTTGATTCGTCTCTGATTCATTGACCAGAGACGACTTGACATCGGCTAAATCCCTCTCCGCCGAGGAGTTTTCCGAGTTCTTCTCCTCCTGCTCGCCCTCGTCTTTGAAGGAGATCAGCTCGTCGTTAGCGCCTAGGTCATCTCCTCCACCGCCGTTCAGCTGCGGCATTTTTTTTCACCCACCAGCAGCAATTTTGGAAGAAAAATGAAGGAGGAAGAAAAGCAAAAAAAAAAAAAAAAAAGTTTGCGAGCCCCCCCAAAAAAAATATTGCAAGAAAAACACCAGTCCAAGGTTAACTTTTTTTTCCTGCTTTGGGGTCTTTCTCTCCTGGGGAGGGGAAAAGAGGGAGGAGGGGAGAGGAAGGGGGAGATCTTCTGCACGCGTGAGTTTGGGTTTCTTTTTTCTCTCGTTCCCAAGGATCCGATCAATGTTGCAAAAAAATAATAAATAAAAAAGGGGGGTTAAAAAAAAAACAACAACAACAAGTCAGATATAAGAGCAGAGGGGGGGGAAGCCGAAGACACCGAAGGAGCTCGTGCCGCTCGGATTTGAGTGAGTTGAAGTTAGACTGAGCTTTTCAGTTCAAAGGCGGCGCTGATTGACAGATAGAAAAAGGGGGATCGAAATCCGGAGGAACGGAGTAGTCTGGGAGCGGAGATTATTGACAGGGCGAGAGGAACACACTCGCCTTAATGAGATGCCAGGGGGCGGGGCGAGCCCGGTGACGTTTGCATAAATAAACAGCCGGGGTGGGCGGGGCGGGGGCGGCCAACAATGATCCTTTAGGCGCCGGGAGAGGCAGCGGGGCGGGCCGGGGCCGCGGGAGGCGCGCGGGGTGCGGGGTGCGAGCCGGGCGCCCGGACGGTGCGGGCCTCGCTCCTGGAGGGGGCGGGTTCCGAAGGACAATGCGGACCGGGAGAGGAGGGGAAGGGGGTGGCAACCGAGTCCGGAATCTGAGCCGGGCAAGGCGGAAGGAAAGCCCACTTGGGGGGCGGGGAAGGGGAGAGGCCCAGGAAAAGTGTCGGCCCGAAGTCTTGAGGATGGGGACCAGCGGGGGAGGGCTGTGGGACGTGGGGACGGGGAGCCCGGTGGTTAGCCCCGCAGAGAAGTCGGACGCCCCCGGGGGCGGGATGAGGCACAACTCTGCCCTGGGAAACCCTGTGGAAGCAGTGGGCCTGGGCCGCCCTCAGTCAAGGAGGTTAACCCACAACTGTAATGACAGTGAATCATGTCACTAAATGCGAAGATCTACTCGCTTAAATATGCCAAGAAGGCGTTTTATCCAAAACAACAAATACTTTAGGTTCGACTGGAATACTAAAAATATCCTTAAGGGAAATGTAAAGTTGTTGGGTCTTTTTTTTTTTTTTTTAAACTGACGTTGGAAGTAGGAAGTGATGTCGGATCCAAAGTCCGTTCTGACTTTGGAGGTGAAAAGTTTGGGCGTTAACAGCGCCAGGGAAAATAAAAGTGAAAGTCACAGCAAGCCCTGGGGATGAGTTGGCTGTAGTTGTTCTCTAAGGGGGTCTGAGAGGAAATGCCCAGAGGCTGTAGATGTTGGTGAGACAGTCACCAAAGCTGGCCTAGCCCAGGATTTGAGACAGGTATTTGTTGGTCGTTAGGCTCTGGGAGAGCACATTGATTTGCTATGATATGAGCAAGAGAATTACGTTAAAGGAGGAAGGGTGCTCCTGGATGGTAGAGTCCAACGAGAAGTGAGCCCGGAATTCCAATGGGAAAAGAGACGCCAAAAGAAGAAGAAATCATAGGAACTGGCAAGTTACTATTAGGTTCGATATTATTCTGGGGCCCGCGATGCATTAGATTAGCCCACCGTCCCCTTTAAAAAGCTCATCTGTTGTAGATTACTAAAAGTAACCAATTTACTGTGAAATATTTAAGAGAGTTTGGGGTTTCAACAAAAACTGTTCTCCACGTTCAGGCCTCAGAAAGAAGACAACTGAAAATAATGATACTGAGATTGACAAGGCCAGCGAATTCCCCTGCACTGGAAAGAAAAACTCCCAAGCACATTAGCACACTAAAGCAGAAGGGTTCACACAAAACCAAGATGGGATGGATGGGGGCTGCAAGATTCACTAACCCACAGCTCCCATATTCATCAGGAAATCAGGAGTGCAGGGAGAAGGAGCCTGGAAAAAATAAATAAATAAAAATAAAACAAAACAAATGTGTGCATTTCATCGGATGGATTGCACGGGACACAAAGTGGAGGGCTAATTAGTCTCAGCAGGTAGGGCTAACCTTCAGACTTCATAAATAAATAAGACAGTGCAGTGTCTAGGAGGGAGCGTGGAGACAGAAAGGGGAATATTTCAAGACACCAAGTAGAAACACAAAACACAGGTCTGTCTAGAGTCCGTATAGATGACTGACCCCCTTCCTGGGTCCTTCCACAGAGCGTCTGTAGACTCCACACCTAGCCAAACAGTGCAGCTCTACACACTTGTTAATCACCATCTATGTATAACTAGTACCCAAGATGGTTTCTGTACCGTATCGTATAGACTATGCCAAGTGCTGTTTGGGGCTTCATGATATAAATGGGGACACTTTCCCACAAACTCTGCTCTATGACCAATTCTTTGTCCTGTGGGGATGGGTTTGGGTTCTTTTTGTATTTTCCTCTACCTCTGATCTGAAACAAGTTGAATAATGGGGTCTTCTGTGTCCCTTACAGGATTGATTGTACAATAAAAGGTTATGCGTATACTAAATTGAAATAGTTAAAAAGTGTCATTGTGTTTAACACACTGCATTTTTACCATGTAAATACTGTCTTCGGTGACCAATACCATCATCTAGTTTGGCACAGCCTTATTTTTCTCACTCAAAGGGAACCTTTGCATCATCCCTTAAATCTCCAACTTAACTGATTAAAAAGTTATTCCATAACAGGCCATACGCCACATTTAATTTCATTGTTTCTTGCCGTAAGAAAGGGAAAGAAAGCAACAAGATCTCTATTGACCTCTAGTCCCTGTTGTTGCTTATGGTGGTACCCAGAAGAGCAAGGGGAGAGGGGAGGGCAAGGAATGCCACCTGCAGGAAGCAAAATAAAACATTATTCAAAAATGAAAGGCCAGATTGGCCCACCATGTGGGCCTGCAGCTTACAGATTTGGCAAGAATTCTTTAAATGCCAGTTGGCTTGTGCATGAGCATTGGGGTACCTTCTCTGTAAGCCCTGATGACTTTTGCTTTAAATGACTGAATTCTGACCAAATGGCAAAGATGCTAAAATTTCAAGAAGGCCTCCAGACTGGTTCTAATGCTGGCTTGAGCCTTGGGAGGCGTTTGGACATCCTGGTCTTTCATGTGGGAGTGGGCAGAGTGAATGGACAAACTGTCCTGGTCTCTCATTATTTGGAGCCCCTAGCTGGGCCAGCCCAGGTCCCCAAGCGCCACCCCATCCTCTTTACTTCATGTCTGGTCTTGCCTGCAGCCTTCCTTCCATCGACTTTCTTCTGGTGGGTTTGTGTTTACACTGGCAGCCTGTATATTGCCTTGAAATGTAAGTGAACAGACTAGCCAGATGTGACTCAAGGTCAGGAGGCAGAAGCCTGATGTATAGAGTAAATGACAGAATAGCTACGTTTACATATGAAGGGCCTTACATATGATGTATGTCTACATAAAGAAATGCATCTTAAGAGAATAGGCTGCCTGGGAGAACGGGGTGTGGTTCCTAACCCTGAGTGTGAGAAGGTGGCTGCTGTTCACACCACTCACCCTCTAGGCACAGGGGAGGGGAAGGAGGTGATTACTGAAATATGACAGTGATAGATTGGCCGTAAACCATATTACCTGTGGCCTCTTCGCCCTGCATCACCTTGGGGGTGAGGTATGGATTATTTTCTGGTGTGCTTTTTATATTTGCAAGAGTCCATGAGTCTATAGTTTTCTCCCAGACTTTTGTCATTACCAAAAGTTTCTCTTACTATGGCAAAGACAAACCATAGTAAAAGGCTGGCTTTGTGATACTGGGGATCCAAGGGTGGTTGGCTAACACCATCTAGAAGCAGGGACTCCATGATGGTAGCGACACTCAGCTCCTCCAATCACTAGGCAATAGTCTAATCAAGTACCCTTGACATCAAGCAATGCATGCATGTGGTGTGTGTGTGTGTGTGTATGTGTGTGTGTGTGTGTGTGTGTGTGTGTGTGTGTGTGTGTGTAAAAGGGGAGGGGGTGTTTAGAAGCCAAAGACCTGATTTGTTTGTTTGGTGGTAGAGGTGGTGGGGTGGATGGTTTTTCTTTTTAGCCAACACAGGAACAGATCGTCTGGGCTGGGATATAGCTCAGTTGGTAGAGTTCTTGTCTAGCATGCAGGGGGACCTGGGTTCAACCCCCAGCACTACATCAATCAGGAGTGATGGCACAAGCCTATAATCCTAACATTCAAGAAGGTGGATCAAAGGTTTAAGGTCATTGTCTGCTAAATAATGAGTTTGAAATCAGTTTGAGATATATGAGACCTTACCTAAGATGAGTTGGATGGTAGAGAGATAGACAGACAGATAGATAGATGGTCTAGAATAGATAGATTAGTCAAGCCTGACAACCTGAGTTCAAACTCCAGAACCTATATGGTGGATAGAGAAAACAAATTCCTAGGAGTTATCCATGCCCTCCCTTGAAACCCTGGGGAATGGGCTTGTGTTCTAGCAACCTCCAAAGGACCTGACTTGATCACCTTGTTTCAGCTAACAGCCCATCCAGGTAATGAAGGCACAATGGTGCCCATGACCCAGGGACTAGTGGGGAGCATACAATTGTTAAGGGCTGCGTCACCCACATTCATAAACTGATGGTGACTACTATAGGCACAGGCATCTATGATGTGATGAGAAAAGCTTCCAAAAGACATCGGCACTCCCTAAAGAGACACCTTGTATCGACAAGATGCCTTTTAACCCTAATAGTGATAGAAGAAGGCCAGTTAGTGAAACATTTACTGCATGACTTGCTTTATTTTGAGTGTGATTCCTTTCTTGCCATTGCTAGATGTTTGTGCACTAATTTGCTCCCTAGAAATCTCACTTGCTACAGTTACATGGCCATGATGTTTTATCGCCCGGAGCCAAGTCTGCATAAGAGCTTTCTTAAGATATACTTACCCTAATGCCGGGTTACAGGAGCCAGGCTGCTTTTGTACCAAATTACTTGTGCTTCACTGATATACAGGCCAGAGCCTTCCTTGCAGTCATTGCCATAGGGTAGGTCTAAATGTTTCTGAGCAGGGAAAAAGGTAAAGAAACGGTGAAAGGGTTTCATGTAAGCTGATCTTGCAGAAGTCCTTAGGATAATAATTGCTGTGTGTTTAATATATGAAAATGCCAATGCTTTCATTTTCTTTATATGAGTGGGGTGTGTTTGTGTTCGTGCGGGAGTGTGTGGAGGCCAAAGGTCAGTCTCAAGTGTCATCCCTCAGGTGCCATCCACCTTGTGTTTTTTGAGACAGGGTCTCTCATTGGCTTGCAGTTTGTCAGCTAGGCTGGGCTGGCTTTTGGGCAAACTCTATGGATTGCTGTACCTTCTTCCCTGCTTACCCTGCACTGGGATAATAAGCATTCATCACCATACTGCAATTTGTACGTGGGTGTTGGGAATCCAAGCTAAAACTCAGGTCCTCAGGCTTGTATGGCAAATGATTTCCATGTGAAACCATCATCTCCCTC